ATCATTATTACTATTAGTAGTAGTATTATTAAACAAACATTTAAAGAAACTTGCAAAATGATAAAAACGAAATTGAACCACAGTATCGCATTTCTATCTTAAAATAACTGGCCTGAGATGTATGGATTTAAGATTTTTTTTAAATCACGCTTAGGATTATGTGTTCTATTAGGCCTATGTATAACGTGTACTGATGCATATTTACATGTTTAGAAGTATTCATTTTAAGTGATCCCAGGAAAGAATTTGTATTGGCACAAGAATAAGCTTTAAAATTTTAACACTGTGTACAAAGGGGGGAGCCGCGGCTCCCACGGCTCCCCCCCCCCCTGGATACGTCCCTGTACGTAAACAGTTGTACTCGCAAGTACCTCTGAGAATGATCATTTCATTTAAACGTTTAAAAAGACTACAGGTGTATTCGAAATATTCGTTGCAATAAATGTTAGTGTTCCTCATTACTAGAGGGTGCGCTCACTTCTCTCACTTATCCTCTAGTATGTTAAACGTCGCAATTATTTTCGAAGGAGAAAAATTATTCATGACCACTAAAAGAAAATAGGTTGCATGTTGCATGTGATCTATGTACGCCATACCCTCTTTGTCAAGGTCCTTGTTATTATTTTGTTGTGACGAACGATATATAGACATATCGAGCTACCCCAATTCCTAAGGCATGTATGATGAGGTTTTTGTAACGCCCGTCCATTCAATCAACACAGTAGGAAGCAATATGCTAAGAACCATCATTCCAAAGTATTGTTTTTGCCAGAAAAATGTAAACTTGAGTAGCTTAGTTCGCAGAGCTTTGGAATGGCAACCCCAAAATGTACTGATTAGACTTTCCAGGGAAGGACTGATTCCACAGTAACCAGTATACCTACCAAGTACTTCCTGGTCTGGAAGTCCAAGCTGCAAACGCACCGTCACCCCTTTGGAATGTTATCATTCTCTCATAGCCTACAGTAAAAATAAAGAAGTTGTTCTGTTAATCTTGAATTAGATTATTACTTTGTAATAGATATAGGCCTACACTTTTCCTTAACAGGGTTCTCCAAAGTTTTACATAAGATGAAGGTTAGACAACAAGATATCTCATAAACTTACTAAATAATAAAGTACTAATAGTAGGCCTATATATTCGCGGTTTCCGTCAGGACTTGTGAATTTGATTCTGAAAACATGATTTGCTTATATCAAAACATTTAAGATCATTTATAAATTCGGCCAATTTAATTTTAATACCATCCCTCTAATTAACCAAATCATCCCTTATACTATGAAAATTATAAGAGTATAGTATAATAACTTCTCACTCTTATCTGTACTGAATTTAAGTTGAATAAACCCGCCGAAAAACGAAAAAGTAAATTCAGTAGGCCTACACTCAGCTCCTTAATCTTCAAAAACCTAGTGAGCAGCCCCTTAAATGTTGAATCCAATACAAATCTTCAATCTTCTAAGAATTCTTGAGATAAATTTTCTTTTTTTTTTCTACCGACCTCCCGAGTTGATCAATTAATACATATTATTGTTGAATTCCTCAATAAATGACAACTGACAAATTATCAACTTTGTGTAATAAATTGTTCGTTAATTAACCATTATCTGATGAGGAACTACCTATACACACCAAATTATCATTGTATCTTCAAATTAGAGCCTCAAGTAAACCTACACAGGTTTGGTAAAATCATTTATAAAGACTTCAGAAATATTTCAACATAAATGCCAGTACCTCATAAAAAAAGAGTCCAAATTCTTAAAAATATAAGTTTGCAAATTCAACCTCAAATAAAAATTTTATGAATCAATTCTGTAAGGAAAATATAATCTGCTCCAAAAAGTAATTCTATACAATAAACAACTCAATAATATTTATATTTATATATATATATTCCACTGAGGAAGGACTAGTGTTGTCCGAAAGCTCTGGTTCTATTTCTGGCTGTTTACTTACGTTTACTTTTTAGCTGTTGCTTATCATTTTTGTATCTCTACTGAGATCCAGCCATTGTTTCCCACAGCATATAGTTTTTCATTATTTTGCCTTTTAATCTATATATATATA